CCACCTACACGACCGCGCTCTCACCTTTAACTCTAGTCCGCGTGGACCACTTGCCACCGCCGCAATATTCAATTGACCATTTGCCACCCACATCATCTTGAGTCTTACTGTAAGCCATATCTAGACGCAACTGCTAGTCACGCACTGTATAAAAGACCACAGAAGTCATTTGAAGCTTCGCGCGGAGTCTGAAACCCACTTCAGTTGCTGCTCCTTACAGAAGCACTTGCCACACTGTTAAGCCCAAAACGCATCCTTCCACACACAGCACAGCAATCCCCTGTAAAATTTAACTGGTCTATAAATACTTCACTAATCCTCTTCAGCAAAGCACCCCACTTCAACTTTCAAGGTCATTAAGTACGAACCAAAACAAATTCTAGTGCGACATTTTATTTCCTACCCTGAAAAATGTTTCATCAAACACCAATGACGCATGACTCAAGCAGAGGTGACTCACAAATCATCACTCCTAAAGTAAATAAAGTAAAATACCAATCACGTGTCAAAAACAGATAAATGAATTTCATCAATTAGACTGACGTCTACTCCCATAAAAACACCTATAAACGAAGCTTAAGCTAAAAACAGCACAACTCTTAGCCTCAAAAGATCACCAACAACAAGCGGCTGAAAATTCGAACAGCACAAAACAATCTCCTAGTGTAAAAGAGTAATAAGAAATAACCCATTTCTGAAATTCCTCGCAATGTCAAAATCCCAATAACCTCCCAATAACAAGCCCAATGGAGCAAAACAGCAGTACGCCTAAACAGCAAACAGTAAATACAACGCCATTCTAATTTACAGCAATAAAATTAAGCAGGAAAACATCAACTGTAAATAAATACACATTGAAAACAAACACACTTTTGCAAAAAAACTCAATCCCATTGCTTTAAGGTTACTAAAGGAATTGAAGTTATAGAACAACATATCTCAAAACACCTCCCCCAAAATTACACGATGAGACCATTGAGACGGAGAGGAAATGATTTCGAGAAACTTTTTTTTTACAGACAAGTACGGAAATTGCACCAAAAGAGAAGTTTTATTTTAATTAGTCTCGAGATGTAAAGAGTAAGATGAAATGTTGGTGATTATGTACTCAACAAATAAAGAAGATTTAATAAGAAGCAGCAATAGTAAAAAACACTGTCAAGTATTCATATGGTCCGGTCAAAATTAAGCCATCTTTGAAAAACTGAAATTTTAATTAGATGAAGTGTGGTTGGACAATGGAATAAATTGAACGTCAAATATGGAACAACATTTAAAAGTGACTTTGGTGCTCAACAACAAGGACTGTCAGATTAACCAAAGAATATAAACCTTGAAATGCTAACGCGATATTGCTTATAGCTTTCTCAAAGGAAATTGCCTCTGCTATGATGAGCTTGTTGATTGCGACGCGCTTGCTCGTCATTTATTACCTTTTCAATCATCAGCCTGCCGTTACGAATGCAATCTGCATCGCCCGTTAAGCTAAAAATCATAACTTCACAAATAATCCACTGTCATAAGAGAAAAGTAAGAGCACTCATCAACTATGGAAACAACAGACAAAAAAAATCTCGAGTTGGGAGTGAAAACAGGCCTACCATGAACTCTCGTCAACGTTTAACGCACCGAAAAGGAAAAAATGTAAAACGAAGAAATTCTGCAGTAAAAACTCGTACCTAATCAGCCGATTGCCCTGAGCCGTTAGTGAACCTCGTTTATGTACCTCAACCTTGCAACCGCTAAGATGCTGAATTTCTGCCAACGTTTTTGCCTTCGGTCCAAGCACTGCACCAACGATGGCATCAGGAACCTATAAATAACAAGTAAGCTGTGTACTCATCTCCAAGCATGCAACTTTCCTAGAATCAATTTGCGTTTAAACACCACTTAAACCTCTAGTTCAACGTGTCCATTATCAACTAATTTTTCCTTTATAACGGTCGAGGCAAAGTTTAGTCCATTTGATGTAACACTTGACTTGTTCTGGCTCATAACATCAATGAGAACTCCTCCGACGCCACTAAGTGACTGCAAACGTCAAGTGGAAATTCATAAATAAGGGCAAAAACAAGTTTTTTGGAACATTTTTTGAAAAAAAAAAGCAAAAGTAAAAAAAAAAAAAAACAAAAAAAACAAAGGGACAAAAGTTATACCCACTTTATTGATATCCGAATGACCACCATAATGGCGTTCCGGAGTATCAAGTATGCTTTGGGTGCTACTTATTATTGAAGAATCAAAACGTTGAGACTGCATTATGGATTGCTGCTGCTGTTGCATGTTTGCGGATTCATTCGACCTCATCTGAGCCATAGCTGCTACACCAAGTCCAAGCCCAAGTCCCATAATATTGTATTTTGCCAACACCTGTCAATTCCCAAAACATATCAGAAAGTTTCTCTTAAAAATCAAATCATCAGAAATTGTTGAACAAAATGAATATAATCAAGCGTTTTCTATCTCATTTGCCAAATAATTTCTGAAATTCGTTTGACTGCCTTATATCTTTCCTACTCTCATTACAACTAATCATCAACAACAAAAAGCTTTACTCCTCCGTCTCTGAATTACTTTTACAGCTAATACAGAAGACATTCTGCCAGAATTATGATTTTTTAAAAAAATAAGAAACCTGCATCGCCTGCATCACTTCAGCAACACTTGATTCATTGAAACCCGAATTACGTAAAGTTGACTGAAGACTATCAAGAAAAGCAAGCAGCTAAAAAGTATATTAAATTTACGAAAGTAAAGATAGGTGTAAGACTGTACACTCAAGTAAATCACGTAAGGAAGAACTCATTACCTCATTATTCCCCAAACCTTGCATAGGATTGAATTTAAAGCCACTAGAACCACCATTTGTATAACTGTCCTTGTTTGGCGTGCTGTAGGAGACGTCTGGAAAAGATTTAAAACATAAACTGCAATAGACAAAATAATGAATGATCAACTGGTATGCGGATGCCTCTCAACATGCCCATTACATCATATTCATATGCCAAACCAATGTCAACAGAAACGAATTGCAAAGGCAGAGAAACACCCCCAAAAACGCTTGCATAAACCACGTGGGACCTGCAGAAATTAATTTCAAAAAAGAAGTGAAAAAGAAAGCCACTCGTCAAACTCGTAAGCTTAATTCGCCATCGTTAAAAGAAAAACTGGAGGAGTGTTGGAATCAATGTAGGTTATGTGATATCGAAATAACTACAATAAGGGACCTAGTTACAAATGCATGACAGACCATGAATTTAAAGTGATGGAAAATTATTGCGCAGAAAAACAATCTTTAAATCCGCATCGAAGCTTTTAGCGAAGTTCTTACTCAAGACTGCAATGTATTCATGTTTCTAAATGGAGGGGTTGGAAGCTAACCAGGCATCTTGTTAATCCATCAAAGATTTAATATAATAAATAATAAATAAAATTATAAAAGCAATGAAACAACTGAAATTCAAAATAACTTTGGAAACAATCAATAAACGCTTATGATAGATTTGAAATAAAAGCAAACAAGAGATTTACGGCTAATGTGAAGAAAAAAGATAACTGTAGAAGAAAAGCAAAAAAAAAAAAAAGTAGACTAGAGAACAGCTCTTACCTAAAGCCCTTTGTTGGTTAGGCTGCCAGACTTGAGGAGCACTACCAACTTGTCCTCCGAACTGAGATTGTTGCATAGAAGACAATGACCCAAACTGCATTCCAGCAGTTTGGCGTCCAGCAAAATCAAATGGTTGAACAGATGGAGTTTGACCAGTGTGAGAATGAAGACTGTTTCCAAATGCATCATCTTTATGATCAATTGAAGACGCATGTTGTGGATCAGCAGCAACTTTTTCTAATACGCGTTGGATCGCGTTCATCAAAACATCGTTGCTTTCAGCAGCAATCGTGATAACCCTTTCAAGACTAACTTTTGCTTCTGGGCTGCCCGCTTTGGGAAATACTTGTATGTTAGCCCCCGTCTGATCCCGGATTTCTTTTATTCGCGCTCCACTCTTACCAATTACCATACCAGCAGATGTATTTGGTACCAACAATTTCATCTGAACTTTAGTCAAGCCTAGTATTTACGACGGACAGATGAGGAACTTCATCCACTATAGGATGCCTTTGCACAACCCAGCTTACTACACTCTCAAGTGAATCAGATAAGAATTTTTTCATGCGGGAAAATTACCACCAGTTATATGAAATATTACTAAAACTAGACCTATTACCCAAATTCGAACTGAAAGACCAAAAGATAATGACTATTGCTGGCTGTGCAAAAACATTGTCTAGAAATGAAGGAGATTATGCGACTGTAAAGTCAAAATATCCTGAGTAATAAACAACAACAACGGCCAAAGATGGGTAGCCTTTGAAAAATTCAACTCATGTAAAAAATCAAAATTTTTAAATGAATAAACCAATCACGCCAAAAGACGCTGAAAAACTAAGGAAAGCCTTTATCGAATGTAGAGATCTGTAAATGAAATGATTAAATGAGAAAAAATTATATAGCTTAGTATATCAGAGAGAAGAAATTGAAAGTAGAAGCAATTCGAGAGGTTCAAATAAAAGGAGATAAACTAAAAAATTTTCGTATCTAGCGCCACAACTCCCATTCCACTAACAAATGAAACGATAGAAAAATGTAGTGCTCGAGTAAGTGTTTTGACAACAGTAAGTAAAACTAATTACACCGCTTGGCTAGATAAAAAGAAAGACCACTGTTTGAAAATATTACTTCAAAAAAATTTAAAACCGAGAAGTGCAAGAAGATTTTGAAAATGGAACAAACCTCCTTCGAGCGCTCAACACCTTTATGGTCAAACGGATCTGCGGGCGTATTGGCATCCACTTTCTCACGTATTTTTTCCATGATCACTTCGACAACTTTCATTACTGAGGCGATTTTTCCTTTCACCAAACAAATCCTTTCATTGGTACCTGAACGAAGCAAACATGAATCCGTACCTTCGAAAATTCTGTCATGTGGCAGTAAAGCTAGTCGTACCATGATAAACCTCTTGGTTTTTACTCATTTGCAGCCTACATCCTGATTCACTTTTTAAGTTACGCATCGTTTCGCCACCTTTCCCAATGATAGCGCCCACTGCCGCGGAAGGAATTAGCATTTTAACTTGTACTGAATCTAAAAACAAATAGTGTGCATACTTTTCACTACTTCAGCTTACCAAAATTCATCAAAACCGAATAATTATTTATGCTGCCAATTAAAGTAATTCCCTAGGAATTTCAATCGCAAAAGATATTATTCTAAATGAGCAAATTGTGCAAAACACCAAATCAACATCCAGTCCCCATACCATCGGAGTCAACGATGTACGCCTTTTTCGAAGCTGGTCCACCACGATCTTCGCGCTGACGTTTTTGTCCTGTAGAAACATTAGTCGCATTTTGTATCGAAGCGGCTAAATTGCCTACAAAGATTTCTAGAAAAAATGAAAGCAAATCACTCACTTGCAAAAGAGGTTTCAGCGGTGTAAAGAAAATAAATACTACAGGAAAAGTTCCCTTAAAAACTGTAGGGAAAAAAGATAACTGATGTTAGAACCAAACGAACCTTCCGTATTGCCGTCATCCAAATTATCTTCTTCCAAATGATCGTCAGTTTTAACCTCGATTGACATACCCTCAAGAATTTTTACTTTTTGCGACTGTGTAAGTGGTTTGTAGAAAAAGCCAATGAATATGAAAACTTTGACGTACCAAATGAGGTGCTAAAAAACAAAACTATCAAAAATTTTCTCCAATATGTAACAGTCGAGTCAACACGACAAATTGCTGCAACAAATATTACACTGTCTCGTTTTCATTTGTTTCAGACGCTCTTACTCCTAGACTACCTAAACTAGTCTTTTTTTTTCATAAAGATAACCAGAGGGAGAAAAACTTAGAATGGATTCAAACTACGAATGAAAACCAAAAATTTTTACGAATTTGCGTACAAAATCCACATGTAGCATAATTAACAAAGTCCCGGTTTAGATGCCTGCCATAATATAATCATACAATGTGTGAGAAAAAAGCGGTCTGATGACGGACAACTGATGATACAAGCTGCCTACACAGAAAATTTCTCAGGCATTCACCACTTTCCAGATAGAGTAAATTAAGCGGAAGAAAAGATTCAGTGAAACTCAAAAACCAGACATGTTCTGCCCTACTAACGAGAACGCATGAAATCTGAAAATGGTGGAAGGCAACAACAGCACTGGAAGAAGCGAATGAAAAATCGATTAACTCGCTGTGGCAACGCTCAACGGATGTTCCACTTTGCACGGCACCGAGGAACGCGTTTGTTTCCTTCGCCTGTTAGGAAACTGAACATCATAACTCCTTGCAAATCAGCTTCTCATTTGC